TTATATTGTGATACTAACAGAAATTAATAGGGTTTTTATTAAATGATAGGAGATCTGTATGACAAACAGCTTTTAATATGCTAGGTATCATTTTGGTGGGATACAGAAAAAAACTCAAGGTCAAACTGAAAGTGATGTGAATGCTTGATATTTGTATTTAGAAGCATCACACAACAAAAAGATGATTGAAAGGACTTGTAAGACCTGTGTTATTTATGTCGCCTGTAGGTGTGTGTATGGATGTGTCACTAGAGCGCTGCAGTGCTGAATTTGTTTCCTTAAAGAGTTATTAAATCAACACAGTGAAGGATGCCAAGACCTATCAGGCAAGACGGGGAACCGAAACATCCACTGAAATCTTGTTTGTGTGTCCACAGTTTGTGCATATGTGTGTGTTGCCCACACACATAATCTGTCACATGAACAGATTTGTACATCAGTGCACATGTACAGAAGTTTCTTCCTGTATTTTAAATGTAGCAGCACATAAGTGGGTGGAAGAAAATTGGGATTCTAATAAAAAAAAAAAAAAAAATCCCTCTCTGTTATGACCTACTTTCACCCAAGTAATCTTGCCTGAAAAGCAGTCGGCAGAATTATGAGAGCTCTAATTAAATTGGCTTCCCGGAGAAGTTCAGTAGCTGGGTGGTGAACTCAGCAGCAAGGCTGATCAGTTGGATGCCGTCTGTAAGCTTAAAGATCAGAGTGCGGCTGAAAGCAGGCAGGGGGACGCTGATAAAGCTCCTATTACATTTACTGTACATGGAGCATAAATGGCAGCTATGAACCACGTACTGTATAATGATCTGGAGCTTTGGCCTCACTGGAGTACCCGACTCACAAATGTGTAAAGAGGGTGTACTGTAGGTGTGGACTGCTCATGTCATGTGCATCTGCAGGGGTGTTTTGTGTTTTTGCTTTAGTCAGCACTTTGCAGAGCAGATAATACAGTCCAGTCAGATCCTTCGGGGCCAGTGGTACCTTAGTTGTGCTACTGGATGTGTGCTTTGCCGTTTGCAAGGTCAGCAGCTAGACAGTCTGATAGCTGAAGTGCCACAAGGGGCACATCCACGTAGAAACGAAGAGCCAGGCATTAAATGAAGTCTTCAAATGGTCAAGCACCAGGTGTTTATATAGGAAGACCTGTAAAAATGTTCCTTCCCACCTCACGCCAAAGTCCAACACAACTGAGGTAGGAAAATAATAAATTAATGAAAGTCATTTAAAAAAAAAAATTAAACACCACCTTTTTGGATGCATTTGTTTCAGTGGTGCATTGTAAGAGGCTGGAAGTAAATCAGAGCATTTCTTGGTAAAAAAAAAAAATGTGTCAAGTGATAGTGGTGGGTGAAATCTTCCAGTCTAATTCAAGATCAGCAACTGTCTTGTGATCATCCACCCCGATGAACACAGTGTGACCCACCAGTGTGTTCAGTTTCACAATACCCACAATAGAAATAAGCACAAACAGCCTTGTTCAGAGGTTCCAGCTGTTAGGCTGCGTCCTTCTGCGATTAAATTTGGACCCCGTCTTGACTTTCACACAGTAGATACATGAATTCAAATTCATCTCTCACTGTTCTACAAGGACTCTGAAGCCTTGGTGAAAGAACAGATGGACTCTTTTTTCTTTTCCTTTCCATACCAGACTGTAGTAGTTTCCATGTTACCCTCATGAAGCCAAAGCCAGTAAAACAGGGTTTATCTTGTCCACGCAGCATCACACCTGAATGGCACTTTCAAATTGGCAGTAAAAAAATCTGAAAGGCAGATTGTTTTTTGCCTTTCAATACATATTCCACTTTGTCACTTTGTACGGTGACAAAGACAGAAACACCTTGACTGTCTTCGAAACTGTGATTTCAGTGTCACATCCCATTGCTAGAAGTGAGCAGGTTACAGATCAGTGGCTGAAGTTGCAGCAACATGGCTGACAAAGGAACCGGCGTCACTTCGGTTGTCACCTCTTCCTCCACACCTTTGACAGCCAGATCTTCACCGTTTTGTCACTAGAGAGAGAGAAGGGAGGTGGGTGAGAAGCAAAGGAAAGAAGGAAGAACACAACAAAGGCAGAAAATAACAGAGCATCAATCAGGCAGTCTTCCTCTTCAAAACAACCCATTGTACAGCAGACACACCACAAAGAGACTGGCTTCAAAGTACACTTCGCACATACATTGCCCACACACACTTCATTACAGACCCTTCTCCAGTGTCAATGGAAAAACATATTCCCAACCTCTTAAAAAAGTTCAGAACCAAGTATGATTCATAACTCTGAAACAAGTAAATATAATCAATCTGCCCACATCCCTAATCCCAACTGACCAGGCAATTCATTTTTCCACCTTCTTGCACATAGTGCTGGTCTGGGGAAACGCCTTGGCCTAGTCAGTTAGGCAGTACCCAGGAAAGCTTCACATTTTTCATTAACAGTAGCAGAAGTTAGCTTTGCATTTTGGTTCGTGTTAGAATTGTTCAGCATTTTGACAAATAAGCCTACTGATTTGGTGTCACACTCAAGGCTATAGGATAAATATAAACCAAAACCCACTGGTAGTTAGCTTAGCACAAAGTCAGAAACATGGTGGAGTCAGCCACCAACCAGCACCACTAAACCACAGTATAACTGATAACCTCAGTCCACTAAATCTCACAAATCTGCTTGTTAAGTAGTGACATACCATTCCGTTTCTGGGTCCAAACTTCAGTTCATTCTCCTCAATTTAATATGCTGCAGTGTTGTGTTTCCATTGTTTCAGTTGAGCTGAATCAAAAGTCACATGTCAACTGTCATTTTACTGCTTTCTCCTTAGAAGGAGAAAAAGAATTGCTATCACCTCACTGACCGCACCTGCCAGTGCGTGGCCCAAGCAGTGGCAGCCATCAACAACATCACACTCCTCTGCTCATCCATCACCTCCCTCGCTGCCCAGCCCAGGGCTCACCTCGCTAAGGGAACAGAAGAGATTGCTATGGCGGCGGTGATGACTCTCTCCTCCACCACTGCAGTGACACAGGCCTGAATCAAGCCATAGATGACAATGCTACAATGTAACATGTGGCCTCACGTTAGACAGTGCAGACGCACCGCATACAGGTGCTCGCCTGGTCTCAGAGTGTTACTCCATGTAGTGAAATCAGCTCTCCATAAACAGTTGGATGGACAAGCTAATTAAAAAAATGGCTACACTCTGCAGTTCTCCAGGCCTCCCCCTGCTTTCAGCGTAGTGCTGGAGACAGTGATGGTATCACAGGCGGAGTCCGCCACTCTGATGATGGAGCTGGAGGAGCTGCTAGAGAAGCGAGCAATCTCCAGAGTCCTCTTCACAAGAAAATGGGCAAAATTAAGCCCATTCTCAATCTGTCCCTCTCCAACAAATAGCGATGTGTAATGATTGTGAGGTGATCGTCACACATGCTCACCATAAAGCAGGTGATGGAGTGTGTGTGGTTCACATCCACTGGCCTAAAAGATGCATACATACATACAATCCACAGCGCTAGGGCCCTGTCAACAACAGCCTCTTATGCAGTGTGGTGTGTGTGTAGAGGGGCGCTGACCCCATGTCATGCCCGCAGTCACAAGTGCTAATTTTCTTGTAAACTTTAGTAGACAGAGACCTGGCTCTGTCTACTGTGAAAGCCTACGCTGCGGCTATTTCCTTCTGCCAAGAGGGTTTTGGCGAGAGATCTGTTTTCGCACAACTGCTAGTCAAACGCTTCTTGAGAGGAGTTGTGCGTCTTTATCTGCAAGGATGGCAGTTTGGCCATTTAAGAACGAACCCATCGGTATGTGCCAAAAATAATAACATCCTCTTTTCAATCCTGGGTCACCTCCCTGGAGGGATTTTACCCCCCTCTGCACAGAAATGAATCAGATGGTGAGCTTCATCTCCTCTGCCCAGTGCGTGCATTGTCTCATTATGCGGCGCATATGGCAGCCATCAGGCAAACACAGCAGTTGTTTGTGCGTTACAGAGAGCATTCCAAAGGAAATCCTCTGACCAAGCGGCGGCTATCTCACTGGCTGTGGGAAGTGGGACTGCTGTGGAGGACATTTTTGGATCAACTTCCTGGGCTTCAACGTGTCTCTATATTTGTTTTTATCTACAGGAAATGTCTGAGTTTTCCTTTGCCTACTCAGTGCTGAGCATCCTGTGCGACCAGCAGGTCACTACCAATGCAGAGCATGCACACACATGGCACTAGGCACTAATACTGCACGTGTGCCTGACAGCTGCACTTCTGCCCCCTGGCCTTTCTTGCTTGAGCATCTCACTGTTAACATACATAACGATCGTCTGTCTGCTCTTCCCTGCACCTCTGTCCTCTGCCTGCCTGCCTGCCTGCTCGTGCTGGGACTTTTACAGCGCGTAATTGTCGTCCCTGCCTTCTCACAGTGGCAGCCAGGTTCTGTGGGAGGGATGTGATTGTGCCTGCTTTACAGACAGGGCCTGTGACAGGAGAAGGGGGTGTTTCTCTCTTTGGGACTGCTACCTATGAGATGCTTTTCTGATGTGGTACATTGACTACATCCCGCTTCACCCTAATCCCATTTGTGACAGCTCGCAGAGTGCGAAGCCTATATGAAATAGAACACTGGTTATGTACCATAACCACAGCTTGTAGCCCTCTAAGATAGCAGCCCCGCCGACTTCTCCCCTGCCAGCTGACTAAGGTCACGCAGGTGTTATATGCAGTAAGGGCAGACCTGAGGGAAGTCAGCCCAGTGCAGGGCACAGGGCATGAAAGAGGTCTCTTCATGACTGTGCATGTGTGAGGGGATAAACCCCAACAGCAACAGTTCATAGACAGCCACACCTATGATCTTAGAAGCTGGGGTTATGATAAGTAACCAATGATTTTTACTCTCAGTGATGCCTCACTAAAAAAAGATGTTACCGTGTAGAGGTTGACATTCTCCGCCATTTGGGTCTGGGGGAGTTTGGACCCAGAAGTGGAACATTGTCACGCTGAACAAGTGGTTTACAACATTTTCTTAATCCCTTTAAAAAAAAAAAAAAAAAAAAAGTAAAAAACAACTATTTTTACCCCACATACATGGCAGACTAGCTACTTCCAAGCTAGTCATTTCCCCATTTCCAATCTTCAAGCCAAACGTGCTAACTGCTGGCTATAGCCTTACTGTACAGTGTACTGAATGGATAACTATGAAAGGGGTATGACTCTTCTCATTTAACTCTCTAAAAGAAAATATAATAAGCATATTTGCAAAATTTTGAACTATTCCTTTAGTAGAGCTGTAGGTGCAGTATACAAATTTGATTCGCCTATGTGAGAAAAAAGAATTATTCTGATTGTCCTAGCATAAAGACCATGATGAAAGTTTGAAAAACAAAAGTCAAAGTGAGCCAAACAGAGCAGCATATGAAAAGACAAAAAAAAAAGATAAAAATTTAGTCAAATGAAAAGGATGGAAACAGAAAGGGAGCAAACAGATAAGACCAGTTACTGTACCACCCAGGTAAGTAAATACAAAAGTAGGGGAAAAGTAACATTAGGGAAAAGGAAGCAGAAATCACAGAGAGAGTACCAGAGAAAGGGAGGGTTGGTGAGCAGAGAAGAGGCAATCATGGGAGGCTGGTGGCTCGACCCTTGATGGCCAGGACTCGTCGAGGAAGACAAGGGGTCAAGCCTGGCACATAACTCCACAACTTCACCCTGCAGTCGCTGGGGTAGACAAGAAGAAAGGGGGGAGTACAGGAGGAGGAGGATGAGGAAGGTAAAGGTGAAGATCAGGAGAACAGGAGGGCAGCAAAGTTTGAGAGACCAAGCGAGGAAATATTTGTCCACAGAAAAGATGACAGACGAACAGCAAATCAGCAAGAAGTGAGATTTAAGATTAAAGAGAAAATGAGTGAACAAGAGAGTGAGAGGAAGAGAAGACAGACAGGAAGAGCAGAAAGTTAATCAATTTCAGTGAAAGCCCACCAGTTCATTGAGAAGTGAGAAAAATTAGCACAGACAGACTCAAGAAAACACAACGGACTCTGTTCCTGTCAGTGCAATTTCTGCATTGCTTCATTCGCAGTCGTTAGGCCATTTTCCTCAGGTGCCTGTCTACTTTTTTGTGCATTGGTTTGGTATTTTCCTGCCATGAATGAATGCACTTATGCCGAGCGCTGAGGAGAGGTGCAGCTGAAGCCATGTGTAAGCTGATTAAGCAGTGCAGTGAAAGTTTGGTGCTGGTTTTGACCCAAAACACCTGCTCAGACCACCTCTTATCGCAGTCACAGGTGCACTGCAATTTTCCTGACAAGTACCTACGGTGGGAAGCACAAGAACAAATATATTTTAATGGCTACACCAACTTGAAATAAGCTGTTACAGTACATCCGCTGGAATTCACTCCGAATAATTTACTGTGTATCATGAAATACAGTATGTGTGATAATTTAGAAAGATTATTTTTAAATAAGATAGAGAGAAAGTGAGCGACTCGCCCACTGCCTGTGCGCTCTGGCAGACCACAATCAGTTTCACCATAAACACAGTGATTACAATATGATTTCACTGTATCATTTTAAAAAGCAGTGAAACATTTATAAAGTTACATGCGAGACACCCATGGATTTCACATACTGGATGCAGCTGAGAGTAAATTACTGCTGCTGGTTACAGAACCAGACTTTCTTTCTTCCATGCAAAACAGCTGGTCAGTAATATTAGCAGACTGAGTAAATATATGTGTAGTACTACAATAAATAGTTGTGTTTGTCCTTCCTGCTCTTTAAAGGGGATGAAAGGAGCTGGTTTGACTGGACAAAACTAAAACCAGCCCTGATTCCACCTGCTCACAATGTATTCCTACTAATAATGTATTCTGCCTCTCCTCCACAATGCGCCTGGTAACGCCTGGCTGGGCACAGAAGTACACCGCGTCTGTGGTCACCAGAATTTCAAAACATGGTTGAACACGCCCATATGTGCCTCGTGCATGAAATTTAGACACGAGCTTAATACTGCACGCTTTTCAGGAAAACAGAGCCCAGTATATCCCACTCAGGCACACACAAGCAAATAAAGAAGCACTATCTCAGTCCAATGCAGCTATGAGCTCAGCAAATAACAGATAGGGAGAAAAACAGGATGTTGTATGACCCTCTCTGATCTACACGACTGACGCACTCCTGCAGATAAATGTCTGTGATGAAGTAAAACATGAATCATATCCAGTATTTCAAGAAGTAGTGTAATAGGTACAAGGTTAACATTTTCTCTCTCTCTGCACTGGTTTGTTCCCAAGTTCTCAACCTCCAAAGTCTACCAACCACTCTTCTGGCTGTTACACTACTATATATTTTGTATAACCAACAAATTTCACAGAAAACAGCGTGTTTGTCCGTCTCACCCCCTCAACCTCAAGTCCATTCATTCCATTTAAATCTTTAAAAAAGTGGTATTAAAATTTGTTTCATCTAATAAAAAAAGAGGCTAAGTGCGCTCCTAAAACAACCTGGACACGGTTGTTTCTTGTAAACATTACTCAACAGGAGTAAATAGTGCATTTTTGGACATCAATGGATTTCTATATGGCACTGAGGAATAAATTACATCAGTCTTTAGCTGCACAGGTAATATTTTGTTACATCCTATTTAGTAGGATGAATTCATTTTTCATGGGATCTGTTGACAATAATTATAATATTTTAATGTTTGTGTGCGACTCTTTAAAGTTGTTTACAATTAGACTTTGTAAATGTGTCGACAGCAATGTTTTTTCTTTTTATGAACTTTTTTTGTTGTAAAAAACTGCAATCATTCATTAAAACAAATCATTTTTTAAATATATCACTACATAGCTGGTTGCCAACTGCCAGAATAAAAGAAATATCACTATGTAATCGCTTCGTGCTTACATCAGTGGGTCTTTTTTGCTCCAGTTATTGGCCAGCTCCAGTGCACGCTGCAGTTTTAGAAAATCATAGCGGCTGCAGCAGAGTTGGCGGAGATTTGCAAAAGGGGTTTAGTGTAAAACTTTCCAAAGACCCAAGACTTTGGAAAGTATGGGAGTACTTCAAATGATCAGAAAACAAAAAGGTGGTCTGTACACTGTGCAAAGTTATGTTAGCATATCACAGCAGCACTAGTGCTGTGCACAAGCACCTGAAGAGAAAACACACATGGGCTACACTGCAGCATGAACCTCCAGAAAAGGCAAAACCACTGTTAATTACGATTAGTGGGGAGAGCTTTTTAATATCTTTTGTCCTTGCAGCTGCTCACCTCGCTATTAGAACCATAAAGTCATCCGACTACTGCCTTAGAAATTCCACTGAATAAGTGCATGAGAAAATGTTTAAGCTTATTCTACATTGACTGATGGTGCCTGTATGCATGTGCGCTGTGTTTCTTTTATACAGTCTATGATTCATGCACGTTGTGTTTGTTGGGACATGAACCTATCTGGAGGAAAATTAACTGACTAATTGTTAAAATAGCTGATAGATCAATCAACTGAAAAACAGCCATTAGTGGCAGCCCTAAAGTTGATCACGCTGTCAAAATACGAATTTGTTATTAGAAGAATATAAAGCATTTACACTATTTATACATAAAAGATTTCTTTAACTTTCAAAATAGATATCTTCCAAAGAACTGTCTTTTTGCCCATAAGTCACTTATGACATCATCACAGTAGCAGGCAGAGAACAAATAAATTAATGCAATTTGAAGGACAGTTCTGTTTTATTGTACTGCAATAGGAAGGTTTTAGATTAATGCCAGTGAAGTACTGCAACATCTTTTTTTTTACCTGGATGCAGTGAAGATCTGTCTTGAGTTGGTACATATGGCATTAATAGGGCTGTCATGACCTCTGACCTCTCCTATGGGGGTGAAGTTGTCTACGTTCCACACCTTCAGCATGCCGCCCCGACAGCCGCTCAGCAGCATGGGCCGGCCCGGGACATGTGCCAAAGCACACACCCAGTCCTTATGGGCATTAGGGATTTGCTGTGGAATCAAGGCAGAGAGACATCAAGAGTCAGAGAGATAAAGATGTTAAATATTGTGTCTTCGTACCTACTGTATGATACCACAGTGGTTTTAGAGCAGCTTTATATGCGAGTTGTTGAAGCAGAAAAATATACCTTATTGCTGGTTCATCATTAAAGCAGCATATTTCTTAAATGGCAAATGCGCACTGTTGCTAGGGAACATATAATTACAAATATGGCTTGAAGTCTCACCAATACTTTTGGCTCAATACCACGTTTCTGAGTTCAGTGTTACACTGGCTTCAAATGACTCCTGAACTGATATTAATTGAATCTGTCTGTTTACAAAAAAAAAAAAAAAAAATCACACTGGCATGAGCCTTTGTTTTATTAAAGCAACATGATAACACAATTCTCTATACAATATTTAAGAGTTTGCAGAGAAATAAATGTAACATGTAAGTTTACTATATTTTCCCTCACAACAAATATTCAGCGTCCCAAACATCCCTGCACTGATGGAACTCAAACCGCACTATGCTCTGCAGCACCACACTTCTGCTGCAAAGAACAAACTGTAACTCATTGACAAGTACAGTAGCTTCTAAACAGACATTATACTTTTTAAAAATGTTTTTGCATGTTATTTCTGCACTGAATTAAACAGAAAATGAAGAACACAGTGAACCTCATCTCTGAAGAAGCACTACAGCAGATGTGATGGGCTATGATTTACTCTACCAAAGAGTCTAGTGCAAATATCATTATTTTGTATAAACAAGGGCACGCAGTATATTTAACAACATGACTCACTAATGCAAGAAATTACAGTTCACAAGAACATAAAAAGAAAAAAGAGCATAAAAACTATCATTTGATATGACCTTCTTGTACTTGCGCTATAAACAAACAGTTAGTTGTTGGCACACATGGATACACAGACAAACAAGGTGTATGCTTTCTAACAGGCAATAATGTTGACAGCAGGCAGATGCAAACGTCTGACCTACTGCATCAGCAAGTCATCCTACAAGCAGGAGTTTCTGGACAAGGAGGAGGTTTTCCACACTTTACCACTATTTAATTGACCATTTGTCAATACTGTGTCACTACAATCTAAATGACCTCTTGTTAGCTGGCACCAGTGACCCCAGGCATTGTATTTTTTTACTGCAACATCTTGGAGAGTTTGAAATGTCTTGTATACAGATATACCCTTTTTGCATAATGCTGATGCTATGCACAAAAAAGTCAGTAACGGCTAAAATTAGAGTTAATGTTTTGGTTATAAATGCCCTTGGCACAATGGTTTTTGTCAGCTTTATGCATTTGCTATTAGAGCTAGACTGATAATCATCTTATCACTGATATACAGGTTCAGTTTATCTTAGTCACAATTCCTTAAAGGAATAAATTTTAGAGATCTGAAAGGGTTTGTTTATGTTATGAGTTGATTTCATCCATAACATTATCAATTTTTTTTCTACTTTCAAATATCAAGTATGGTGCTGTCCTCAGTATTTGTCAGGTTTTATTGTTTTTTGTCTCTAAATACAGTTTTGTGTGAAGATCTCATCAGGTTGTCATAGATAATAGATCTGGCACATCTGGTATCTGTGATCACGCCATGTTCAATGCTGCTAATTGATGTACAGGCCTAGGTGTGGTTATTACTTTTTCTCAGCTCACAAAACAATAAAACATTATCTGCATTTCCATAATATCAAAAAGATTTTCTTTTTAACCTGTGAGCAGACTGTGACTCTTATTACACTCTGAGTACAGACTTGAAAACTGACTAACATTTTCCCTCCTGATTGTCTTCTAGTTTCATTTCAATGTCCAATGCTAGTTTGTGGTAGAGTAATGTCTTGTAAAATGTGTCCACTCCCTTTTTGGCTTATGAGGATTTTTGTGTTACTAACAAATAACTAGTTATTTGTAAATTTTATGTATTGTGTCTATGTAATAGTAATAGTATCATGACCATTGCCAAGGATGGAGTTTGTTTTGCCAACATTTGTTTGTTTGTTAACAGCATAACTCAAAAAGAAATGAATATATTTTGATGATTTTTTTTTTTTGGAGACGTACGATATGACCCACCTAACAACTGACTACATTTTGGTGCTTATCTGTATTATAATTTGGATACAGGAATATTTTTAAAGATTATTCACCATTGTGAGTGCTGGAAAGGCTGCTGGCTGTATGTGAGGCCCCTTGTGGCCATAGTGTGCAGCTGCATTGGTGAGCACATAAGGAGCCAAGGCCCTAGAGACAGCTGCCCATTCACTGTCAATGGAAACCGAGTGCTGTCAATCAGTATGCCCCACAGGGACTGAAGGGGTCCAGCAAGAGCTGGGCAAAGATCTACTCTGTGCAGCGACAGCCAGGCAGGAATCTGATGGCAGAGTTTGAGCCAGGCTCAAAGCGGTTATCATTTTCATCCATAGCACTGGTATTATGCCAATTTATTAAGTTTTGACATTTTTTTTCTGGTGACAAAATAACCGCTTAGATTGAGAATATGTGGTCAGTCTATCCAGGTAATGCCAATTTAAAATTTGTTCCGAAATTTTCGGAGAGATAAGTGCTCGTTATCTGGCCAAGCTAGCTTTATTAGCAGGCAGCTACATTTCCCTCAGAGTACAGTAGTCTGTCGGAGAGGACGCCGGTGTACCAGCCGCACATTATAGCTGTTTTTACTGTCGGCACCTAATGAGCGGTACACCCCGTGCTTCCCCTCAACTGACACCTGGCATAACCTCACGGGTGGACGGAGACCATCCTACTTTGCTTTTTCACCATATTTTGAGCTGTGTTAGTCTCTGTTTACAGCTGAGCACAGGACGTGAAGTATCATTCCATAGTGCAACAATCAGTATGAGCAGTTTCTCAAACAGCCTTTGAACAAGCAGAACACAAACTTGCAGAAATGTGACATCTTCAACACTCTGCCATGGTCCACTCACTGAAGTCCCCATTTTACCCTTAAACCAACAAGTGAATATCTGTCATATCTATCGTTTTTTTTTTTTAAATAACTTTGAAACTACCAGCATCATTACGAATGCCAGCAGTAGGTTTTCATGGTCAAGACATCACATTATGAGTAAAACTATACTGGGAATATTGTTTTTATGGCATTATGAGGAGACTAAATTGCCAGAGGTCTGCGCACTCTGAATGCTGTCTGGTTTCAGTATAATCTTTGTGGAGTTTTCTCTATGTTAACAACCTGATATCTGGGGGCAGCAGACATTTGTCATTTAAAGGAAGAATCTACAGGTTGAAGAAGGTTGAGGAATGAATACAAAAAGGCAGTTCAAAGCCCCTGCTGGTGGTTGGGAGTAGGACAGAAGCTGCAGATGGGGAACAGCAAAATAAAATAAAAAAGTTCTCATATACATTACATCTACTGCAATGTCTGTAATAACTTTTCACCAGTGTGTAAAAATACGTTAATGCTTTCTAACACTTCACAGAGAGAAACACCACAATGCCACATCAACTGCATAAGCACGCTGACAAATTTGATATACCTTCCAAATGCTTTTAGAAGGTATATCAAGATATTTATCAAGCAACAGGGAATCACTAAACTACAGTGTTGAGCAATTATAAACACATTGCTTCACATATTCCCTGAAAAACACACTACGCAGTGTGCATTTTAACAAAAGGGTCAGAGCAGAAGTACTCACAGCAGCAATCCTGGAGGAGGCAGAGCTTCAGAGTCTACTGTAATTTTATTATACCCCAAGCCACAATTTGATCCTATTACATAATTAGACAGAGACTACTGAGTTAGACTGAATTGTGCTGGCTGCTTCACAACTAAAGATAAGGTCATATGCCACAGATCCCAGCACACACTGTTGATTTAATTCAGCCTTTAAATGGAAATAATGTCTTACGTTCTTGTTTTGTCTGTTTGGATAAACAAAGGCTAAACAAGATTTATGCAAAACAACTTGACAAAGTGCTGCTTAATATGCATTTTACTGTGCATGCAAATGAGTAAGCCACATCCACCCACGAGGTGCATTATTATGCATTATTAACATATGCAGGCAGCAGCAGAGGATACACAAGAGACTTCACAGAAGTCAACACTAGCATATAAACACACCACCACACACACCATGAATTTCCTCTGTGGTAGCTGTGGCTGTGATGCGAGTGGGCTCTAACGCCCTGATGTTGACACGGTGCTGTCCTGCCACATTAAACATGGTGATGCTCTGTTGACTCTCCGCAGAGCAAACTCTCAGGGTAAAAGAAGACATGAAAGGAGCGCCCCGGTGGCAGGAAGTTGTCCACCAACTGAACATTCTACAGGCAGCTCAGCTTTTCTCTGTCACAGTGAGGCTAGAGTTGAATAATTAGTTAAATAAAGTCCCCGCTAGCATGGACACAGGAGATGTTTCTGTACTGTAAGATACAAAAATAAGCCTGATAATCAGACTGTACTACCGTTCTATTTCACTTCACTCGGCCTGCCTGACGCTGTATTTAGCGAATTGTCGGTTGGGGCTGTTCTTCTGACACCCTTTTCACTGTGTTAGCTATGAAAACATTTTTATGAGCAATTGAAGGCACTTACAAGTTTGAGAGCTGTTATTTCTATAAGTCAACAACAAACTGTACAGCTGTGTCAATCACGTCCATGCTCGTTACTGTTTTTGTGGTCATCTTTCTTTTGGTATGTTTTAATAATTTATAGGGTAGCAAGCTATGCAGGAAAATCATGCTGACATTCTTGATCTCATCTACAACACTGATTGTTCAGTAGGTACCACACCAAACCTATATGAATCACTATATACACTGTATATAAAAAATAAATTTGAGATACTGTATGAGTGGCAATCCACAGGTCTGGAACTAGGCTAGCAAACAGTGATTCATTTTTAATTATGTTAATGTTGTTTTCCATATATGCAAAAAACAAGCTTTGCCCACAGGTTGATAAAGGTCAAGGGAACATGAATTAACAGCCTTAGAGAAATATCTAAGTCTAGGCATGTCACATAATGTCAGCACTGAAGCACTGTAAGAGAGGCATGTTTTAAAACTTTTATACATGATCTCAAATTTCACCTGAATATAAACTAATTCTGCTTCCTGCTTAACCCAACCCTGCTGACCTCAAGTAGTGTTTAGAAAATATACACGGACATGAAGCCTTCAGCTTAAATAAATCTTAACAAGTGTTGCCATGTCTGCATGGTCACAGATGTTAATCTCCAACCTTCAGAACACAAATGTTTGCAGACAAACACATTCGTTACACACCTGTGTGAGCTCCTGCTGCTCCAGGTCCCATTTCTTGATGCCGTTGTCCCTTGACCCACTGAACAACACGTCTCCTTGCACAGCCAAACACTCGATGCCGTCATAATGTGGTGGCTCAAAGTTATGAGTCGGGCCTATATTACCCAGAGTTCCCTCTGCTACGTCAAACACCTGAGGAGACGAGCAGGAAGTTATAAAAGACATGTCTGTACCTGTGACCTGTGTGGTGTATGTGATATGATCTAAACATGAGTGTGTTTGGTACCTTAACATAATGGTCTTTGGAGCCAGTGATAACTTGGTCTTTGCACAGCAGAGACTGTCCCACTGTCAGACACATAACAGGGCCAATGTGACCTGTCAGCTTCCCCATCACTTGCATCCTACACATAAAAACACACACCAGAGGATGAGAAGCAAAGGTCTATGAAATTCATTGCATATAAGATTTTCAAAGTTCCTCTTTCATCGACTGAAATCACTTTCCATCTCACAAGTGAAGTAAAACTGCTGAGGCACAGCAGTGCCACAGGGAGAGATGATACTCGAGAAATGTTTAATACATTCATTATTCATTTCTGGTGGGGGTCTTATGCATCATTAAATGGTCCAAGCCCCTCAGCATAGGCTGTCTGGTCCAAACTGTTAATAATTTCTCACTAGAAGCATAAAAACAAGGGAGACGCTGGCATTACCACAGAATGTCAGAAATAGGTTCCTTGTAGAAAACACGCTCATGGTCGTGCTTCGTATCAGCAGTAGTGGATTCCTGCACGTTCGTTTCACAGCCTTTCAGTGTTGTAGTCAAGTCAATAAACCTTGAGTCTGAGTCGAGTCTTGAGTCCCCACTGTTCAAGTCAAAGTCAAGTCCGAATCACCAAAGAATAATCTTGAGTCGAGTTTGAGTTGAGTCTGTTACCCGAGCCAGAGTCATCAAGGTCTACATTTAACACAACTGACACATCTCTCACCATTTTATATTCTAAACTTTCTACCAGTGCATTATTGGATCACCATATTGCTCAGCAATTTGATACATAAAAATCATTTCTAGAAAGTCAGTGTACATATGTTGGAAGTGGCTACTGCGTGAATATAGCAACGTGTGGGTGAGCAGGTTTTAATATCAATATCTTAGGCCAAATTATTATAGCCTATTACAAAAAATGTAAAAAATCTGGGCCCTCATCTCCAACTTCCGAGTCCAAATGCTGAAGTCTAAGTCGAGACACAAGTCCTTAAAATCTGGACTTGAGTCAGATTCGAGTCTGAGTCCTGGACTCGAGTAATACAACACTGCATCTCTTCTGTCAGATGTTAGATGTTATCAGGTCTCTAGTTGATTAACGCATGACAAGTCAGAGATGGGCACTTGAGTTGGAGACTCATACCTGAGTTCCACTCAAGTCCAACATGTATAGATTTCCAACTTAACTCGTAATTTGCCCCTAATTGATTCCAGTCCTGACTTGGACTCATAAATAATGACTTGCAAACATTAATGCCGTTTTCACACATGAACTCCAGACAATGTCTGTGGAATCAGATTTGCTGATTCTAATTGTCCAGAGATTCCCTTTTACACATGTAGCATACAAATGGAGATAGTCATCAACATGCCCAACTAGCTCTGTGTATACTCCAGACTATACCCTGCTGTTTTCTTAAGCCCTTTTCAGACATGCACTGGAACCCTGAGATTATCGAGACATTACTCAGAGGAGCTGTATGTGAAAACGCAAATGTCTGAGTCAGTGGACCCTTTTGTGAGGTTAAGATTCAGGGATGCTTTGCTTTAAGGATAGGTTAAGATTGGAAAATGGTGTTACTTAGTGTGGGGCCCGCTTTGGTTCAACGTAATTTAATTTGTATATTGAGCTTCCATATGAACGCTCTCCCATTCTTTGGCACATATAATTGTGTATTGTCGACTGAATGTCTGAGTACTGGAATCAATAATTGGATGAGTAGTTGAATTGACAAATAAATCTATGAATAAATGAACAGATGTACCTGTTGAGGTCCCACATGCGAACAGCGTTCCCAGCAGCAGCGTAGAGCACAGATCCTGATAGGTTGAGGGCTATCTGGTTAATTTGACATTCCCCCTGTGCAAAGGTGATTGTACGGGTGGTGGTGCCCGCACACGCGTCACCTGAAACCACCTGCCCTGATGAACTGTGGGAGTAAAGAAAGCCAGACAGGGTAAGAGAGAGGGACAGAAAGGCAGAAAATAAAAGAAGGTGGGGGAGAAGCACATAGGAGAAATGGAGAGATAATGAGCAGCAATTTACAGAGTCGTCTTCATGCATTTCACATCAAATCTTCCCACATTTAATTTGTCACTTTTCTACAACTTGAAACACATCGCTGAACAGAAAAGCATATCCCTATATCACTTCTATCAAATATCTCCTAGGCTGCAATTTTTTAGTTTAACAGCTCCGAACTGTTCCATCTGGCTGCAGGGAGGAAACTTACGTGAGTGTGCGGACACACTTAGTAGAATCACGGATGTCCCACACCTTGATATAGGAAGTGGAGACAGAGAAGACCAGACAGGAAGAAGGACAGTATTTGACTGACACCACATTGTTGGGGTGGCCTTTGAGGGTGAGAATCTCCTGACCAGTTACCAAGTTCCACATCTTACAAGTACGATCTGGAGAATGAAAGAAGGAAAGTTCAAAAGCTCACCAGAGAAACACAGTTTGGGCTGACACGTGCATGTTGTATTATGAGGAAAAAACAGAAAAGTTAATTTTATTCTTGCTACTATTATTAATGCTACATGCCTCATTGTCAGTAATCCAACTTTGTTGACAAATTTATAGAGAAAATACATACAACTATAAAACTTTATAACTTTTACAAGTAAGTTACAAGCAGCAGGGAATCTTAGCAATCTTAGCTTAGCATAAACACCAGGAGATGGGGGAAAGAGCCTGGCTCTGTTCCAAAATAAATTTAGTAATTAAGTGGTAATCAGTAATTGACCAGAAATATCTTGTTTCATCTGTACAAAACCATCACACAGCAATGTGTTGTTTTTACAGTTAGACCGTTACATGAATTAAACAAACAAGACAGAACATTAACGTCTGACAGTGCGAAGTTAGCCGTTTCCCCTTGTATCCAGTCTTTATGCTAAGCTATGCTAATCAGCTCCTGGCTCCAGCTCCCTACTTAACTCATGAGTTAACATGAGTTAAGTAGGTGGGATTAATCTTCTCATCTCACTCTTGGAGAAACATTTATATGCATATTTCCAAAAATTTGAATCCAGTGGTGGCAAGCATTCCATAATGTTTACACAGGTAATGTAAGTAATGTATGTAATTAAGTACAATTTGACGTATCTGTACTTTTGAGTATTTTTATTTAAAATACTGTACTTTTTAACCCCACAACATTTATTCTATAACTTTACTTATTAGTTACTTTTCAGAACCAGATTAAATCAAAAAGTACACTAAAATCATAGGACTTTATTGATCTCCGGTGGAAAAATCACCAGCTACCCATCAGTAATACACATTATAAGCATATACTGTACATTGGTTAACTTTAGCTCCACCTTTACCAACTGCAACATTAAATGTGACCATAATGCAACAGTAATTATAATCCAATAATATGATATACATTAATGTTAAATGTGCATGGGTACTTCTATTTAAGTAACATTTTGAATGCAGGACCTTTACTTGTAACAAAATATTTTTACACTGTTGCATTGCTACTACTGCTTAAGTAAAGGGTCTGAATACTTTTTCCACCACTGCTAGAAGCAGAGCTTCACTGATTTAATTGGTATGTGATGGCATGATTTCCAGTCAGCCCTTTGCTTCAAAGTGAATAAGATCTATTTAAAACTACAGACTGCTACAGGATATACCAATACACTCGCAGTACAGTACACTGCCATTTCAGGCTTATGTGGAATATCTTTTAGAGGTTTAAAGAAAGAGCTATACTGAGTGATGTGTGTACCTTTAGATCCAGTAAACAGCAGCTCATCTGTAGCATCCACACACAGGACTGGCTTTGAATGGCCCTCAGCTACAGAAATACACTGCAAGGGTGCTGTCCGACCCCCCTTCACACCACCAATGGGACTGATCACACCCCTAAAGATCACACACACACACACACACACACACACACACACACACAGTCACTCTCTGGTGTCAACAAAAATCTGAATTTCTTTCGACATTATCTAGCGATGTATGCATTGTAAGACGCAGGCTGAACACAAACATGCACATAAATAAATTCTTTTCATTATACAAACACAATACAAACCTCACTGGGTCCATACAGATGATGCAAAAAACAAATTATGCACACACACATTCACACAGCTTTCTGTTGGACTAAGCCCACCTGCTTGTCTCTCTGGCCTGCCCCAACTCCCCGCTCCCTCCTTACCTTTTTGTGGAACAGCCCAATTAAGGCACTACAACAGTAAGAACTACTTTCCTATTCAACTTGAGTCTCTTCCCTCTCCCTCACACACTCACCTACAAACACACACAGCTTCTCCCATATTATGTACATCAATCTCTTGCAGAACTTCTGCCCCCTCCACCCCCTATCAATGTCCAACTGACAGGCCAGAGTCCAGGAGAGCTTGGAGAGTAGTCAGCAGAGTGCGACAGAACAGGGAGAGGGTGAGAACAAGAGGGAGGAATGTGGGAAAATTGGTCTCTGGTGGGCTTCCTAATAACAAGAGTGGTGGTTAGTGTGTATGTGTCTGAGAGGGAGTGAAGGAAAGCCAGAGGATGTGAGAAAGGAAAAGAGAATCTGTGATTGCACACAAAATTTGGGACAGATTTGTTTCAGCACAGAGTGAGCAAACTAGAAAAGGGGGTGTTTGAAACCTCATAGATGGCAACATGCTCCTCCTTTGTACTTGCACATAAGCTTATGTCCCAGCATGAAAACATACACACACAAATACACGCATTAAATCAAATATTAAACATTACATCATACTTCCTGTATATCTTTTTACAGTGCAAATAATGCCAACCAAAATCAAAAACACTCAATCAGCCAGTAAAAACAATTGCATGCATGTCTGCCAAAATCTCACAATACAAAAGAGGACCAACTTGCACAGGATAAGCTCGAAACAATTGTTAACAGCCACGCCCTGGAAGGCCAACTCCAAAACAGCCTGCAACTCAAAAATGAGTGTTCTGAGATGCCATCATCACCACATGCAGCATCCACTCTGAGCCAGTCAGATCGCAGCTGACTCTTGGTTCAACACCTCCACAGCCAAACACCATTTGGGCCCCAGGAAAAAAGTGACTGTGGTAAATGTGGGTAAGTAGAGGGATGTAACAAGTTGGCAACAAAGTCACATTATAGCTTCTGCATCACATACAGTCTGTTCTTTGTGGTCCGATTCCATTTAAAGACCTATGATTCAAAACAAGGTAGAAACCCATAAATATGACAGTTCTATTAATACCTGTATGTTTGTTTTAACTAAATGGTGAGGAAAGGGGGAAGAAAAAGGTAAGACAATCTGAGGGGCTGTTTCATTTGAATGAACTTTATTGCTCTTTAGACTGTTAACCCAATCATGTTGCCTGACAAAGGTCTTCAGCTCCATCCCCTATGATAATGGAAATTCTTTAGTCAATCTCATTGTTGTCTTGGTGTTAAAACCAAGACTTGGATATTCTGCAGCTTTATAATGAACAGAAACATGATTTCTTTTACTTTCATATATTATCAGAACCCCTTTGATCCCTGCAGTATGTTGAATGCTTTATTTTATTGTAGTTTCTCTATAAAAACAAGCGGTGCACATACTATAACATGGGTTAATGTAGCATTCTATTTCTTACATGAGCGTGCTGCTCCAAATGGCAGAAACTGTTCCCTGTCTGTCAGTATCTGCAGAAGACATCACAGTGTGCTGTGTTATGCTCTATGTAAGAACTGCTAATGGATTTTGTGGGGCCAAGCACAGAGAGACCGGCAAAATAATAAAAACATGGAGGGAGATCAGTGTGTGCTCTCTGCAGTATATAGAAAAACAGACAGGCCCTCAGTGAGAGGTGCCTCTGTGTGTGTCTGTGTGTGATAAAGACATATAAATAGAAACGACTGATCAAAATGAAGAGCAGAAAATTCGGTTTGTCATTATTACATGTATATAAGTGTATCCTACTTGTCTTAAAGGAACAGTTTAACATTTTGGGCAATAAGCTTGTTGTCTTTATTGTCAAAAATTAGGTGAGAGAACTTTCCTGTCTGCGTGCGGATTTAGAGCCAGCAGCCAGTAGGCTTAGGTTAACATAAGGACTGGAAACAGCTAGCCTGTCCAAAGACAACATAATCCACCAAACAGAAATTTGAAGTTAACTAGCTATCAAATTGTGCTATGTTTAATGCTTACAGACTGAAGTATAAATCCTTGTGCTAATTGTCCCCCATGTACAGATACAGAAGCACCAACAATCTTTTCATCAAACTCTTGGCAAGAAATAACATATATTATCAAAATGTTCATCAACTCTGTTTATTATTTTGAAGTAGCCACATATGGTATTTAAGGATATGACTGACCATACTTACATTACAAGTTATTATTGTAGTATTACTGTTAAGATATTTCTGCACCACTGTTCTTTTCCCCACAGCCCTTAGAAAAAAGGTGACAAGCTTCATTCAGGTCTTTTGTGCAAACAGCACCACAGAGAAACAACATCGGACTGATGGAAAAAGCTGGCAGGCCAACAAAGCTGCATGTGGTTAAAACATGCACCACACTGACCCCACCCACAGTGGAGGACACAGGAGATGGAGCAGGTGGAGAGGCCACTAACTACTGGTGAAGACGAGATGACAGCAGGTGAGTTAACAGGCAAATGGGATCACAGAGAGCGACAGACACGGTTCCTCTACCTGAGCACCTCGGAGAGTGAGGAGTCGCTGTCATCTGACCTGGAGGCAGAAGAGGAGCAAGGAGAGGGAGGGGTAGGGTGGGAAGAGGAAAGGGTTAACCACGCTTAGGAAAGACAGAAGGGTTACTGGCAAAGGGTTAAAGGAAGGAATGACTAGAGGAGGGATATTAGATATAAAGCAGTGAGCAAACTGGCAGGAAAGCTCAGTCAGCAATAAAGCTAGTCCAGTAATTACTAGGCAGTTCACTATGAAATGCGTTTCTTCTTAAAGGTAACCACTGACCAGGCCGTACTCTGTGATCATTGTCTGCAGACGCTTTCCTTGGTAAAGCATGTTTACTGCAGGTACGCCCAGGTACGTCAGTGCCCCTTCCTATATCTACTACTTCCAGCCATAATCATGGGATTATTACAGAAAAAAGCATAAGGGATAGCATACGAGGTTAACGCAAGGGAAAATCCATTCGACTGGAGGATAAGGGTGTCAGTCTCAAAGGTGAGCCAGCTCAAAGCTGTCAGTGGAAAAAAACCCAGACAACACCCACACCTCTACAACAGCCCAGAGGGAAAGGCCGGTAGGTGTGTAACAGCACAATAAAAGTGTTATTATACTGTAAGTATTTTACAGCCTCTCAGCGATGAGGGCCTTTGCTTTACACACTGAGCATGAAATAATAAAACAACAGTGTTCAAAGGTGATAGAAATTCCTCCATTGCTTGGTATTTACCGCCAGCCACAGTGTCCATTAGCATAGCGATATCTGACTCAACACAAAATCCTTTTAACATGCATTGATTTTGTGGGTTGCATATCTATTATTAAATTTAGAAGATGGATCTGGGCTACGGAGCCTCTTTATCCTGCAGAGGACAAGAAAACCTTGTTTTAAATTCATTGTCCTTATTCTCATGTGTCTGTCAAATCCATGTCAAATGCCTGATCCCAGTCTTACAGGCAACCAATCTACTCAAATATGAATCAAAAAAAAAAAAAAAAAAAGCTGGGTGCATCCATCCACAAACATCTTATTAATTTTGTGTGTGTGTGTGAATTTTCTAGCATGTTTACTTTATAACTGTTATTTTATTCCTTTGCATAGCAGGCAGCTCCGTATTTGAGGCCCAATTACACAAAATTCATATATAGACAATTCATACTGGCTTTCTATTTACTTTTTATTTGCTTCATCTGGCTGTGAATTAATGCTTGTGATGAATTAAGTGACAATTAGGTCAGTGTCAGTAATATTAGGACAAAACACCAAATACAATGACAACGATGGTTTAATCTGGGGTACAAACTTATATCCAGTGATCAGTAAACATTTATACTGTCCTCACTTATAGCATATGCAAATGAAAATGTGATACTAATTCTGTTACAAAATACAACACAAATGCTCACTACAGCTAAAGACGAAAAGAAAAAGAAACACTCTT